TTGAGGTCTCATAGCTCCTTCCCACCTCAGGACATTTGCATATACTTTTGCCCTCCCCTCCTCTCTTTTTCTTTCTTCTGGGTCATTCCTACTCAATTGTCTCTCAAGAAGACTGTCTCTGATCCCCCGAAACCATGCCACATCCCTTATAATGTGTGCCCCAATTTTCCATTAATAGTGCTCATGTCAGTTTTGAATTGGACAATGATTTTGGGGGGAGGTCTGTTTTGTCCTGTAACTGTCCAGGAAGATTGGGGGAATTCTTCATCACTTTTTCCTCAGCTCTCATTACAGTGCCTGGTGCGAGATGATGCTGGATAAAGGATGAATCCAGTGAGAAAACTGGTTCAGAGAGGGGAAGCCACTTTCTCCAAATCAGTGGAAGAATCTGGTTTTAGACTCAAGCCACTTTGGTCTGGTGAGGGTCTCTCTAGGTGGGGTTGTGGCAGGTGACTATTGTATGAGAAAGAATCAGCGTTGATAGACAGGTAAGTGCAGACACTTCCAGCCCGGCGCCAGTGGGCAGTGACGGCAGCTCAGGGAGGGTGGGCCCAAGCACCAGGAGAGGAGCCATGACTCATGCCTGTGCTCATCTCGTGATGACTCAGGGCCTTCCCTGGGCTCCACCTGGAGCTCAATGACAGACGGTGGTGGGGAGCAAGTGTGTGTGCATGCACAGAGAGGGGGGCAGGTGGATACAGGCAAGGAGCTGGGCTTCTATATGGCAGGAGCAAGCCTGTTCTTGTTCTTCCTCCAGTCCCCATACCCTCAAAGGAGGATCCTTGCAGATGCCATCAATGTTTGGTTCCCTCTCTGGCCTTCTGTCTGCCTCTCTGGGTCCTCACGGTCCCTCATCTCTGCTCCACACACCTTCTGAGGGCTGCAGCTGTACTTGGGGTGCTGACACTGTGGTCCCAAGCTGCAGTCTTGCACCTGAGCTGCAGAGAGCAGTGCTCATTCTCAATGGGACTCAGATGCCAGGGGCCCCTGAGTTATGTGGGCTCCATCCCTTGTTCACTCTTTGGAGGGTTCCCCCAGGAGGTGGGGCTTGGAGGGCAGATCTTGAACCCTGGGAGGATAAAAGCATGAGCATGTCACAGGGTCACTCATTGGGTAAGGCTGTGGGCCTGCTCATCTCTGGCCCCACTTTGCCTGGTCCGTTCCCTATGCCAGGCAGAGAAGGGAAAAGATGGTACCAAATTGCAACAGCAGCAGGAGCTCCTACCTGGACTGCAGATGAGATCCGGCACGGCCAGCTCCTCTTTGTATTGGAAGCAGAGCCTGAGGTTCAGGGGAGGCAGGATGGGGAGGAACACGGATGTGGGAAGAGGGCAGATAGGAGGAGGAGGAGGAGGAGGAGGATGTGGTGAGGCTGCCGGCTCACGGGTAGTAGTGGGGCTTCATCCAGAGACCCCTCCACCCCACCTGCAGTATGTTTATGCCCACTGACAGCTCACCAGGAAGGGCCTTCCCCGTGAGGAAACAGAGGCCAAGGCCATGGGGCGTAGGGAGCGGGCACTGGCAAGTGGTACCTCTCTGGCTGGGGAGCTGCTGCTCTCCTCACTACACTATTCCTAGAGGCACCACGGGAAGGACCAGGCAGTGAGGGCAGAGGCCCTGGGGCCAACATGCAGGGATAGCCCAATGTGGAGGAAAGGCCTGTGCCTTCTCGTACTCACAGGAGGGAGGGTAGTGACTAAGGACCCCTCAATCCAGGCAGAGAACTGGCCAGATAGGTTCAACATTCAGGGAGGGCCAGATTGGAAGGCTGAGCTGGAGTAGATGGACGGTCAAGTCCTCCCTGACTGGCCCCTGGTGATGGGGGTGGGACAGGGCCAGCTGCTGTGATCCCCATGAGCAGCTCAACCTCTTGGGCAGCTGGGGTGGGATTCTGAGGGCAGAGCCCGCTGTCTGGGCTGAGTGAGGCTTGAGGGCAGGGCTGGAGGGTGGGAAGTAGAGGGGGCAACTGAGGCATTGGTTCGTTTAGCACGAGGGCTGGAAAGGCGCCATCTGTCACCAGAGCCATCTGGGCAGCAGTGTCGCAGCTTAGAGCTTCCGGTCAGTCAGGCAGGATGCCCCCAAAGAACGCACTTAACTAGAACAGAGTGGGGTTGCTGAAGCACGGCCCTGCGGGCTGTCCTCCAGCTGCCAACCTCTGCTCAGTCCCCAGGGCCTGGGGTTTACATCCCAATTAGTGAGGGCATCAGCACGGGGAGGGGGAAGGGGTAGGAAAGCAGCAGAAGGTGATCCAGGTCCTGCTCCCAGCAGGGCGAGGGGCTTTCCAGGCCTCAGACCACATTGCAGGAAGATCTTGGGCTTCCCAGTGGAGCCTGACAGGAACCTGGAGAAAGGTGTAGAAAGTAGTCGGGACCTGCTATGGTGCTGCACACCTGGAATCCCAGCTTCTTGAGAGGCTCAGACAGGGGGATCCCAAGTTCGAGGCCAGCCTCAACAACATCGTGAGACCCTGTCTCAGAATAAAAAATAAAAAACAAAACAAAACTGAGGATGCATGAGTATGTAGCTCAGTGGTGGCGTGACCCTGGGTTCAGTCCCCAATACTGAGGGTGGCGGGAAGGAAGTAGAAAGGGAATCAATGCACTCCCCACTAATCTTGGTCTATGAGTTTCCCACACATTAGGCGTTCCCCAATTCACACATGGATTATGCCTCTATATTCTCTGTTCTTCCTACTTACTTTTTTATTCCTCAGTTAATGAATTTTGTATCGCCCATTTACATACTTGTTGAACAAGTAAATTAGTTCAACTTTAATTTCAGCCAATACATTTATAAAGGAAACCCTCCTCGTCTGTCTGGTTTTGAGCTCTCTTTCAGCTCTCAGCAGCTCTCTGGAACAATCAGTTATCTTTCCTTCATCCCATATATGTTGGGATCCTACTTGGACCAGACATGGTGTTGGACACTGGGGTAAGTTCAAGATGAGCAGGCACAGGCTGAAGGGAGACCTGCCCTCTGGGGGAGGTACCATGGGGACATAGTATGAAAGACAAAGTGACCCAGAGTGGGAGAGCTCAGAAAGCCTTCATGGAGGAGGAGGCACACGAGGGGGTGGTTGAAGGTGAACTGGAGTTGTAGTTTGCTTTTTTTCTTTCATTTTTAAAATTTGCTCTAACTAGTTACACATGACAGTAGAATGCACTTTGGCACATTATACATAAATGGAGTATGAAGTAAAATCAAGAATCAATAAATGTGATGGATTCAAACTAAAAATCTTCCCAGCAAAGGAAACAATCAATAATGTGAAGAGAGAGCTTTCAGAATGGGACATGCACCTCAGAGACAGCATTCATTTCCAGGGTATATGAAGAGCTCAAAAACTTAACACCAAAAAAAAAAAAAAAAAAAATCAATTAACTCAATGAATAAATGGGCTAAGGAACTGAACAGAGCTTCACAGAAGAACAAATACAATTGATCAACAAATATATGAAAAAATGTTCAATATCTCTAGCAATTAGAGAAATGTAAATCAAAACTACTCTGAGATTTCATCTCACTCCAGTCAGAATGGCAACAAACAATCAAGCATACAAGCAACAATAAGTGTTGGTGAGGATCAGGGGGAAAAGGTACGCTCATACATTACTGTGTGGTGCATTCTCTGAGTTCTGAAGGGCATTTGCGGAACACTGTGGTTTGGTAGGGAGTTGGGGGCCGGGAGAGATGGGGAAGGAATGGAAAGATTGGAGATGGGCCTTGAGTGCCAGGAACGTGGGCCATGTCTTGGGGCAAAGGGAAGTCAGGAGAGTGACAGAGTCAGAAATGGGTTGGAAAGGTCATCCTGGCAGCTGTGCAGAAGGAGCAGGGGACAAGGGAGAGGTGAAACCCATGGCTAAGGCTCAGGGGAGGGCAGAGTTGCCAATAATCAGAGACAGTTTACTATTTCTTGAGAGTTTCTCATGTGCCCTTCTGGGAAATGGGCAGATTATTAGTACAATTATTATTGTAGAGGAGGGGACTGAGGCACAGCGTGGTTAAATAACTAATCAAAGTCACCCAAGAGGGAGTCAGGATGGAACTCGGGTGGTCCGGCACAGTGGCCCGCAGCCTTCTTTACCACTCTCTTCTGGCTTTGGTGACCAGAATGAGTGTCTGAGTTTCTTCTAGAAGCAAGGTTAGCTAGCATCTTTGTATCCTGTTCTTCCCAGGGCTCAGAATCCAAGGTCAAATTCCATCCCCAGGGCTGGGCCCTGCAAAAGGACCTGGACAGTCGGGCCACTGGTTTTACTGCTCAAAGGTCAGCGGGCGTGAGCAACACTTTCCTCTCCCAGGCCTCAATGTGAAGGCTGCACTTTCTTCTGGAGGGCCCTGGCAGACACATTGCTCGGTGCCTCTCTCCATCTGTTAGCCACTTGTCCCTTCAGCAAACTGGAGTCTCCTGAGGTCAGAACTCTGTCTTTCCTGTCAACCTTGAGGACTCACGAGGGCAGAAGCTGAGCTTCCTGCTCACATTGGACAGGGCCATGCCTCCCCCACCCTCTATGATCAAGCTTGTACCCCATTCCCAGCTCAGTCCCCAGTGGGCACCAGTGGAAGTGGAGGAGGGCTGCAGAACATGACAGTCATCCACGGGGGAGATGACTCCACACCAAGGAGCTTCTATCCCAGAGGGGCTAAGTCTCAGACCCGCTGTCAGGGTCAGCCAGACACGACTCTAGGAAATAGGTCACCCCCTTGGCAGCAGAGCTGATTTATGGTGCCCTTGACAGCCTAATATCACCAAATTACCCCACACAATGGAGAGAGGCTGGGTCGCCGACAGGCAGTCACCGAGGGACGCTGAGCCTGGGGCAGTGGGGCTGCTCCCGAATCCCAGACCTCCTCTGAGTCTGTTGGGGGGAGGCTGGCACAGACGGAGGGCACACCCAGGGGTGCCACCTTCGGTTGGTAGTATAAGTAAGTGGCCCTGGGGACAGCTCTGTACCAGCCGTACTCCTGCGACGGCTTCCTCCCCACGAGCTCCAGGCAGTGCCATGAGTTGCAGACAGCTCTCTTCGTCCTTCTGGAGCCGGGGCAGCTGCGGGGGCGGCGGGGGCAGCGGGGGCAGCATGCGTTCCTCCTTCAGTCGCTTCAGCTCCTCGGGGGGCGGTGGAGGAGGGGGCCGATTCAGCTCTTCCAGTAGCTATGGTGGGCGGATCTCAGGGGCCTGTGGGAGAGGAGGTGGTGGTGGATTTGGCTCCAGCTATGGTGGAGTATCTGGGGGTGGCTTCAGCGCTGGGAGCTCTATCAGTAGCTTTGGAGGAGGTTCCAGAGGTTTTGGTGGAGGTGCCGGAGGAGGCTTTGGTGGCTCTGGGGGCTTTGGAGGTGGCTATGGTGGGTCTGGGGGCTTTGGAGGTGGCTTTGGTGGCGGTGCTGGAGGCGGCGATGGTGGCATTCTGACTACGGATGAGAAGACCACCATGCAGTACCTCAATTCGCGGCTGGCGTCCTATTTGGATAAGGTGCGGTCACTAGAGGATGAAAATGCTACCCTGGAAAAGAAGATCCAGGAATGGTACAGGAATCAGGGGCCCAGGGTCTTCCAGAAGGACTACTCTCCTTATTATGACACCATCAACGATCTCAAGAACCAGGTAGGAGCAGGAAACGATCTCTGATCCCTCTTTCCTCACTTGATCTTCTCAAAAGGTTAAGATGCTAGACTTGAAGCTTAGACCATAGCCAGGCACCCATCTTTTGGAAGCATTAAACTTACATCAGAAACAAACTGTGTTTGGTTTCTGACAGGCCCCCTGGGCTGGGATGCTGGCCTGTGCTCTGGATTCTTGTCTCCACTTCTTCAAGTTTCAGAGTTTGGGAAGAGCAAGAGAGAGGCCTGGATTCACAGACAAGGCTGAGACTGGATGTGGAGTCTTCTTCTGGCCTAGTCTTGAGTCGTTACTATCCCTCCCTTCTGTCTCTTTCTATGTTCTCAGGTTTTATGGAACTCAGCTACACATGCTAGTTGTTCAAGTGATAGAAAGGATCTTGAATTCTGGGGATGGAACCCATCTATCCAACCATCCATCCATATGTCCATATACTATGTCCATATTTATTCATCCTCTCAATTCAGTGAGCGACTACTCTCAGTGTTGCAATGGGCTGATATAGTAACGTATCAGACAGCCTCTTCCCCCGGGGAGATCACAGTTTGGTTCTCCACTGTTCTCACCCATTCCTTTGACCTTTTAGACCTTACTTTTATCTGCTTACTTTTATACCTTCATGCATCTGCACCAAGCAATGCACATGCTGTTTTTTCCTATCCCAAACCTCTTCCATCTATTTATTCATGTGCAGTCTTACCCAATCTTCAGGTTCTAATTCAGTTGCCTTCTCCTTTTTTTTTAAAGAGAGAGAGAGAGAGAGAGAGAGAGAGAGAGAGAGAGAATTTTTTTAATATTTATTTTTTAGTTTTCGGTGGACACAACATCTTTGTTTGTATGTGGTGCTGAGGATCGAACCCCGGGCCATACGCATGCCAGGCGAGCGCGCTACCGCTTGAGCCACATCCCCAGCCCGCCTTCTCCTTTCTAAAGTCTTTCTTGGTTTCCCATAGCCACAGCCATGCTTCCTTTCCTTGAACTCTTTTAGGACACTTTGGACTTTGTAGTTGGTGGTGGGCTCCTTAGGGAGAGTCATTGATTTCTAAAGCCAACTTGCAGCCGGTGCAGTAGATCTTTCAATGTTTGCTGAATGAATGAATGAATGAATGAAGGCCACGCTGAACATGTTTGCTGAAGGGCGTGAGGGGTCTGTGCCATGTACCAGCTGTTGGAAACTCCCTTGCCTCTTGAACATCTTCTAGGATGGGATTCTCCCCTCCTGTGCCTTTGTCTGGCCGCTTTCTCTTCCACTAGTGAGTCATAGCAAGGCAGCAAGGTTTCATGCCATCTTCTCTTTTTAAAGATTGTGCACCTGACAGTGGGCACTAACAAAACTCTCCTGGACATTGACAACACGCGCATGACACTGGATGACTACAGGATGAAGTGAGTCCTGTCCTCTTTTCCCCTCTCCTTGTCATCAATTCTTCCTCCCTCTCTGGTACTCTGGAGGTCCCTCTAGGGCCTGGTGTCCTCTTGATCATACTCCTGACTGGTCTGCAGGTTTGAGATGGAGCAGACCGTGCGGCAAGGGGTGGATGCTGACATCAATGGGCTGCAGAAGGTGCTGGAGGGTCTGAACATGGAGAAGTCTGACCTGGAGATGCAGCTCGACTCTCTGCAGGAGGAGCTGTCCTCCCTCAAGAAGAATCATCAGGATGTAGGTTCCTGCTGCTATGGCTTAATTGGGACCACAGGAGGGGCTTTGGAGGATTGTCTGAGAGATACTGCCTCCCTCACTCTTGATGAGGACACTCCCAATTCCCTCCTTAGCACTACCCACGGTAGTGGCTGGGCTTTGACTTCACCATCATGTCCCTTTTGGGCACTCCGAGGAGAAGAGCAGGAGAGAGCTGAAAAGTGGTGGAAGGAATCCCACCTGCTGACCTCATTTCTCCTTCTTCCCTGGCAGGAGATGTCACAGCTGACCGGGCAGAATGGTGGGGACGTCAACGTGGAAATAAACGTTGCTCCTGGCATCGATCTCACCCAAACCCTCAACAACATGCGCCAGGAATATGAGCAGCTCATTTCAAAGAACCGTAAGGAAATTGAGCAACAATATGAGACCCAGGTGAGCAGAGTGGGTTAGCTGTTCAAACTTCTACCCCACCATCCATAGACCCCTCCACTCCCCCTCCCATGGCTCCCTTCTCCCATCCCCCCATCCTCTTATCTTTCCAACTCTCCATGCAGCTGTCATCCATCCACCTTCCAGTGGATGTCATTCATTATCTTCAATCACTGCACACAGACCCAATTGCAGAGTAGCTTCTCGGTGCCAAATTTTACAGGAAGTGCTGATGTTTCAGAGACGAAACAAGTAAGATTGTTTCTGAGAAACTCAGAGTTTATTAGTGTGCATGAATGAAAGCAGAGCATAGACAATGGACTGTATTGCTGCGGGACACAGATTCTATTAGAGGGATACAGCTTGTCTCCCATTTGGCACTGAGTTCTCTGATGGCTCCCTTCCTCCCTGGGTCTCCAAAGCTTAGCATAGGAATTAACATACGTAGCCATGGTCTGTGGTGTGTGTGTGTGTGTGTGTGTGTGTGTGTGTGTGTGTGTGTTTGAAAGGTAGGAGGAAATAAGATTAGAAAGGTGACTTGGGGACATAGTATGAAGGACTTTGAAGCCTTGCTGAGAAGGAATATCATGTGGTGAGAACTGGACAACTCTGACTAGAGGGATCCAGAACTCAGAACAACCTGTCTTTCCCTTTGGCTCAGCCTTGGTCTTGGATGTGAAGATCCTGCTGGGTGAGGCAGAATCTTGACTACTGAGGCTCTTAGCCCTGCCTGGTCCTAACTGAGTCTTTGGGTTTGCAGATGAGCCATCTTGAACAGGAGGTGACAAATAGTAGCCAAGAGATTGAGACCAACACAAAGGAGGTGAACCAGCTCCGGCACAGTGTCCAGGAGTTGGAGATCGAGCTGCAGGCTCAGCTCAGCATGGTTGGTGTCCTGCTGTAAACTCTGTGCTAGGCTGGGGCACAGGACAGTTTTGCATGATCCCCAGGAGTGGGATGGAGAGGAGATACGATGTGTGCACTCTCCTCGAGCCTCCTCTTGCTTCCTAGAAATCTGCCCTGGAGAAGTCCTTGGAAGACACCAAGAACCGCTACTGTGGCCAGCTGCAGCAGATCCAGGAGCAAATCAGTAACGTGGAGAACCAGCTTGCCGAGATCCGGGCAGAACTTGAGTGTCAGAATCAGGAATACAGCATTCTGCTCAGCGTCAAGATGAGGCTGGAGCAGGAAATTTCAACCTATCGCAATCTCCTTGAAGGCGGCCAGGAAGACTTGTAGGTCCCCTGGATTCTGTAGAAGCCCCAGGACTATCTGGGCCTCTGATACTACTTTCATTCCACTGGACAGAGGCGGCTAGGGAAGTTCTTGTATGCAAAGATCTGAGGGGCTGAGGGTTTCTTCATTCTGTGGGGGCGACTTCAGGATACTTGGGCTTTAGGAACAAGGATGGTGACAATGAAAGAAGGGGTTGCCTTATGCTCTGAGGAGGGGGACAGTACTATTATCCTATTTGGAGGATCTTTCCTCCCAGCTGTTGTGCCAGCTCCGTCTCTTTCTCACAGAAAGGAAAAATTAATAGGATTCACATTTGGGTCTTGACTGTCCAGGTGTATTTATTTATTTTTTTTGTACTGGGGATTGAACTCAGAGACACTTAAACACTGAGACACATCCTTAGCCCTTTTAATTAAAAAAAATTTATTTTGAGGAAGGGTCTCACTAAGTTGCTTAGGGCCTCGCTAAATTGCTGAGGCTGACTTTGAACTTGCAATCCTCTTGCTTCAGTCTCTTGAGTTGCTGGCCAGGTCTATCTTTCCATATGTATGTGGGGCCTACTCATTTTATCTCTCTTTTCTTTCTCAGTGAATCATCTGGAGCTGGACGAATTGGCTTTGGAAGTGGTAAAGGAAGACAAAGAGGAAGTGGAGGCAGCTATGGAGGAGGAAGTGGAGGCAGCTACGGAGGAGGAAGTGGAGGCAGCTATGGAGGAGGCAGTGGAGGCAGCTATGGAGGAGGCAGTGGAGGCAGTTATGGTGGAGGCAGTGGAGGCAGCTATGGAGGAGGAAGTGGAGGCAGCCATGGAGGAGGAAGTGGAGGCAGCTATGGTGGAGGGAGTAGTTCTGGAGGAGGAAGTGGAGGCAGCCATGGAGGAGGAAGTGGAGGCAGCTATGGTGGAGGGAGTAGTTCTGGAGGAGGAAGTGGAGGTGGCCATGGTGGAGGAAGTGGGTCCAAGGGAGGAAGTGGGGGCAGCTATGGAGGAGGAAGTAGCTCTGGAGGAGGAATTGGAGGTAGCTATGGTGGAGGAAGTAGTTCTGGAGGAGGAAGTGGATCCAGGGGAGGAAGTGGAAGACCATCCCAGTCCCAGTCTTCCTCCTCAAAATCTGGTGACTGTGATGACACACAAGGTAAGGGATAATTCTAGGTTGTGGGCGGTGCTGGGGATTGAACTCGGGGCCTTGTGTATGCTAGGCAGTCACTCCTTTTTGTGTACCTTTGAACCTCTCTGGGGAGTACATGTTCTGAACAGAACTAGATTTTAGGGGGATCTTTGTTGAGGTGCTATAGACCTATCCTTGTTCTGAATTTATCATTGAACTAGGTTAGGATCAAATCTACGTATGGCCAGAGTCTCAGTAATAGAGATGGGAGTAAGGAGATGGGTTGAAAATTGTGCATTATCATATATATTTTCCAGTATTCCCTATTATTATCCTTATTTTAAGGAAAATGAGGCTTAGAGAGAGCAAGTAATTTACTCAAGGTCATAAATTTGGCAAGTGAGCCACTCAGCTCTGTGAAGCTCCACAGTCAGGACTTTCTACCACAATGAGGGAGGGGAGACCTGGATCAGCAATGATTCAAATGGAAAGGAGATTCAGGGGTTGGAGTCAGTGGTCATCTCTACAAACATTAACCCAATGCAATTGCTAAAAGGAGCATTAATGAATGTGATAATCTAAATTTAAGAATGTCATGCAGGTGAGGTGGTGTCAAGTCGGGGAAAATTTCTCTACTCCTACACATTGAATTTTTTTCAAGTAAAGATTTAATATGAAATTGTGGTAAAAGGCTGGCCAACATGACTTGGAATGTTTAGCTCAGAGAAGCCTTACAGCACCTGGCAACTGTTCCCTGTAGTGTATCTGGTGTTTTTTTTTGTGTGTGTCCAGTGGCACTGCAGGGCCATGGATGGACATCTAGGTGTGAGGCCAGGGTGATTTTTGCTTCAATATCCAGAGTTTGCTAACAGGGGTGTGGGGTGGTGCCCAGCCTCAGAGATGGAGAGAATCTGCCAGGGTTGCTGCAGCAGAGATTCAGAATTAGATGGGACCACAGATTGGGTGACCCCTTGGTCCTTCCATCTCAGGGTTCTCTGGCTTTTTGAGCTACAGGCTCCTTGCTTGCAGTTCCCTCAACTTCCTCCAAGCCCCTGTTTGAAGTCCTCTCTTCTTGTTTCCATCTCTCCACAGAACACCAGATGCGATACTAGAGCCCTAGTCAACTTTCTCTGCCCAGCCACAGCTGACCGTCCTTCAGAGGGACAGACCCTGGATGAAGCCTGCTCACTACATCTTGACCTCAGGACTCGTTGGCCACAAGCCCCAGTGTCCATTTGGGACTGTTCATTGTGCCTCTGGCTCTCCATTCTCTCTCTCCCCTGCTGGGCTTTGATGATCTCAGGGTTGAGGACACCTCCCCTCCTCTGTGGTAGCCTGGGGGTGACCCCACTCCCTTCCTGATCCTGACTTCCAAATAAAGCTTTCCTACTGCAAATCAAACTTGGACTTTGACTCGTTGGTGTATTAGGATTAGCTAGGAATGGAGGTGCATTTCAATCCATTCTTAAAAAGTGTAGGTTAACTTTTGTTTACTACCAGGCAACATGCATTTTAGTGGCTTAAAATAACCATTTATTTGGCTCATGATTTTGCTTTTGGAGATTTAGACTGGGCTGTCCCATTTTCCTTTATGCATTTGTGATCAACGGTCAGGCCGTTAAGTGGCTCTACCTCTAGGGTTGCTGGAAGCTGATAGGGGCAATGGGGATGAATGAGCCATGTGACTGTCACCCTCCATGCAGGTAGCCTGAGCCAGTGTTACAAGACAATGAGAAGAAGCATGCAAGACCTCTTGAGGCTTAGGGTAGGGCAGTCACTTTTATTGTAAGCTGTAACCTAGTCCAGATTCAAGAAGAGCAGGCACAATAGACTTCTCTTGAGGTAAGGAGCTACAAGGTCACATGGAGAAGGGCATGGATGTAGGGAGGGTAATGATTAAGGCCATTTTTGGCAAACAATCTACCATGGTCCATTAGAAGGTCATGTGTTGGTTGTGGAGGGAAACAAGACAAAAATAATTTGGCTTATGCTTTGGAAGATTTCACCGATGGTGAAAAAATATAAGCATAAATATGGTGCTCCTAGTTAAAAAACATTCCATAAGATTGTCCAAGGATTCTGATTGGGCCTGATGGTCAAAATTCCTTTTCATAGAGAGGAACAAAATTTTGCATAAGTATCTACAATCTTGACAGGGCTTGGCAGAGACAGCTGGTCTCGGCTCCCCTTGGTGTCCCTGTGGCTCACAGGCTGGGACCAGAGTCAAGAGTCTGTGAGCAGAGTTGGTGCACCTGCTTATTCTCAGGTCCCCCGTGGGGCTCCTCAGGCCTCATTCTCGCTCTCTGCAGAGTCTCTCAATGCTATCCCTCCAGGAGGGCAGCTTCACAGTAGCTGAACTCCTTCCATAATGGATCTGTGGTCCCAAGACATATGTCCTAAATGAGAAAGAGTGAAGAAGAAGCTGTTTTGCTTTATCACCTGAACTTGGAAGCCACCCATGTTACTTTTGGTGTAGTCACAGGCCTGACTAGATTGAGGGCCAAGGAACATAAACCTTATGGTAGGTGAATTCTCAGATAATCCCCCAAAACTCCTGGCTCAGGTATATACACACTTCCTTATAGTTATTAAACACTAACCTATTTGGTACTGTGAAGGTATTTTGGTAATTAAGATCTCAAATGTGTTGACCTTAAGAAAGAAACTATCTGTGGGCCTGACTTAACATACGGGCCCTTTAACAGCAGGGAATTTTCTCAGGATGATCATAGAAGAAGTCAGAATTTTGAAGCATGAAATTTCAATGCTGGTCGAAGAGGCAGGGGGCCGTGTGGCAAGCAATGGGGATGGTTTCTTGCTGAGCACAATAAAAACCACAGTTCTGCAGCTACAAGGAACCAAAGTTGTTCAAGAACTAGCGTTTGGAACAGATTGTCCCTCAGAGTCTCCAGATGGGACCTTACCTTGACTTAAGCTTTTTGATACTCGGCATAGAGAACCCAGTCACACCGGCTGACATGTCAGATAATAATAGAAGAACTGTTTAAAATTGCTAAGTTCACAGTGATCTGTTAGGCAAAAATAGAAAACCAATACAGACCCCATTTCCCTCACATACAGACACTATCTTGAGGAGAAAATATACATAGACATATACAGATGAAGGCATGTCAATGTCATGTGGAAGAACAGCATGTGCAATGGAACACGTTGATGTGGCCGTCTTTGGGAAACAACAACTTGCCACAGGGTAGCTCAGATCTTTGGGGGTGGGTATTGGGAGGGAACACTTAAGGCACTAAGGGCACAGGAGCCCAGAAGATGTAAGATCCTGAGGTTTATGGAAGTGGCAGGAGAATGGTGTCTCTGGGTCTAAGGCAGCTCCAGCAAGATGCTTCAGCAGTGAGTTTGTGACCCTTTCTCTAGTGCTCCACCTCAGCTTTTGAAAGATGCTCCATTTCCCCTTTTTGTGTATTTCTAAATAGCCAGAATATAGACTGTGTCCTCTGGACTCACAGTCGGGGGATGAGAGAATGGATTCCACGTGACAATTCCACTCTAACATGCTGGTCCTCCTAAGTGGTCAGATTCCTTCCTCTTTATTACAACAAGCATTTTCTGGAAAAAGCTTTATTTTGAATAGCACACCATTGAGTTCAATTTCTGTTACCCAACAGAGTCAACATTGAGATCTACTCCTAGATAACAAGCCAGCAGTTGAACTTCCAGTGTCTGCTGAAGGCCTCCATCTTGGTTATTTTAGCTGGGTAAAAAATTCACATTAATTCCCGGCTTCACATTTCCACTGATATAGATTAGCAACATCTTGAATTTTCTCTGGTGTGGAAGCCTTTTTCTCCAAGCTTTGGCTTTGTAATTGACCACTATCCCAGGTATATAGTATCTAGCTTATTTATCATTTGGAGGCAATAAAGGGAGGTAGAGGAGGTAGAAGAGCACATGGAGATAATTTGTAGCTGAATTAAACTCTCTAATATATTCTTGTTCCAATTCTGTGGGGGCCCCTCTTTCCTGATTGATGACCTAAATTTTATATGAGACGCTTGGCAAGATTGGGGTTTCAATTGATGTTGTAACTCAGAGAATTTAATTCTGAGTGTATAAGCTGCTTCAGCTTTGCAACTGCAAGAAATAGATCTTCTTGTCTAATTGTCGAAAATCCCTGGTCTTCTGACTGCCCACAGAGTCAAAAATTAGACTTCAAAGCATATTAGTCTTTCTCCAAGGTCTCCAATAGTTAGAAGAAACTAGCCAACTCCTATTTTATTAGTATACCATGGATTTCTAGAATCCTTTGAATAAATAAATAAATAAATGTGTGTGTGTGTGTGTGTGTGTGTGTGTGTGTGTGTGTTTATTATAAGGCATTCAATCCAGGCAGTAGTGGAACATGTTCATAATCCCAGCTACTTGGGAGGCTGAGGGAGGAGTATCACAAGTTCAAGTCCAGTCTGAGTAACTTAGCAAGACATTGCCTCAAAATAAAATAAAAAAGCAAAAGGGTTAGGTATATGAATCAGTGGGAGAGTGCTTGCCTACCATGTGTGAGGCTCTGGGTTCAATTCCTAATACTTCTCCCCGCCAAAATACCCCTCCCATTTAAAAAAATTATTTGTTCTTTTTAGTTATACATGACAGTAGAATGTATTTTGACATATTATACATACATGGAGTATAACTTTCCATTCTTGTGGTTGTACATGATGTGGAGTTAAACTGGTCATGTGTTCATACATAAACTTAGGAAAGTTATGTCCAGTTCATTTTACTATCTTTCCTATTCCCATCCCCCCTACCTTCCCCTCTTTCCCCTTTGTCTAATCCAATGAACTTCTATTCTCCCCCTCCCTTATTGTGTGTTAGCATCTGCATATCAGAAAGAACATTTAGTCTTTCCGTTTTTTGGGATTGGCTTCTTTCACTTAGCATAGTCTCCAGTTCCATCCATTTACTGGCAAATGCCATAATTTTATTCTTTTTATGGCTTAATAATATTCCTTTTTGTATATGTACCACTTTTTCTTTGTCCATTCATCTGTTGAAGGGCACCTAGGTTGGTTCCACAGCTTAGCTGTTGTGAATTGAGCTGTTATAAACATTTGACGTGGCCGCATCACTATAGTATTCTCATTTTAAGTCCTTTGGGTATATGCCGAGGAGTGAGATAACTCCTCAATTCCAAGTTTTCTGAGCAATCTCTACACTGCTTTCCAGAGTGGTTACACCAATTTGCAGTCCCACCAGAAACATATGAGTGTACCTTTATCCCCACATCCCTGCCCACATTTATTGTTATTTGTATTCTTGATAATTGCCATTCTGACTGGAGTGAGATGAAATCTCAGTGTAGTTTTTTTTTTAATTTTTTTTAGTTGTAGATGAACACACAGTATCTTTATTTATTTTTATGTGGTGCTGAGGATTAAACCCAGTGCCTCATACATGTGAGGCAAGCACTTTACCACTGAGCTACAGCCCCAGCCCCTCAGTGTAGTTTTAATTTGCATTTCTCTAATTGCTAGAGATGTTGAACATGTTTTCATATATTTGTTGACCATTTGTATTTCTTCTGTGAAGTGTCTGTTCAGTTCCCTTGCCCATTTATTAATTGAGTTACTTGATTTTTCTGTGTTAGGGTTTTTTTTTTTTTGAGTTCTTTATATATCCTGGAGATTAATGCTCTGAGATGCAGGTGGTAAAGATTTTCTCCCATTCTGTAGGCTCTCTCTTCATGTTCTTGATTATTTCCTTTGCTATGAAGAAGCTTTTTAGTTTAATACATCCTATTTATTAATTCTTTGATTTTACTTCTTGCCCTTTGGAATTCTTATCCCATATTTTGAGGACTTTGGTTCCTAAGCTGACTTGATGAAGAGTTGGGTCTATTTATTCTTCTAGTTAGGCACCCCCATCCCATATTTTGCCTTCCATCAGGCCAGATAACCAATCTGATTCTCATATCAGTCATTCAACAACCTTTATTGGATAATTATTTATTAAGTACCTTAATTGTCAGATACTCTTCTAGGTGAACAGAAGAGGAAAAGATCTTGCCTGTATAGAACTTACACTGTAGGTAAGAGGAGGGGAAAAAAAACAATAAATGTAGTAAATAAATAAATAATGTCTT